TATTATAAATTTTTCGAGGAGTTACAAACGGAATGAATGGTGGAGGGTATAAAAATAAATAGGCTGGTTTTATGAAGCAGGTTTTTTTTTTTTTGGTTTCGAACATTTGTTAATAATTTCGAAATTAATTATATTAAAACAAGTATATGACAATCTCATAACAGATTAGTTTTTCTTCCGCCACCTTCGGCAATCAACGTATAATCTAAATCAAGGCGTATTTTATTAACATTATTGTTATGGCTTAATGTTTTCATATTCAATGAAAATGAGTTGAAATTTGGAAAAAATATTCAATATTTTTAAAAATTTCTCAATGGAAAGAAACAAAACTATAATAATTATTATCCGATTCACTTTTTTATTTGTTGATTTATTAATATATAAATTATTTATATTTTAAATAAAAATAATTTAATTTTAAAGAGATTGGAAATTAAATTCAAGCTTGCTGTTATTGGTTATTCTTGGTGGAAATAAATCAAGTGTTTTTATTACAAAAAATATGTGTATTTTGTATTAAACTCATGAGTTTTCAGAAATCTATGTACAAATGGGATAATGAACGATTTCGAAGCAAATATTTTAATGTCCAAATTTTTTTGTGTTTAAATACATGTAATATATTATTTTATGTTTTTTAGTTATAACAATTTTTTATAATTTTTTTTATATTTTTTTATATATATGTTTTTTTTTGTTATGCATGGTTTAGAAATGCAACTGCATAGCAGAAGTTTAGTTTTTTACATTAAATATAAAGAGTTACCACTTTGTCTTCCAAACTAACAGCTTTAAGGGATATCATAGAACTTTAGTAAAGATTTTAGATCTCTGACCTTGTTTAAGAAATTTGTTTAAAGTGTATTAAAATTTCGTTTTAATAATTTTCGAATTAATATAAGTTCAATCATATCATTTATTTACATAGATAATAAGTTTTTATCTACACCACTCTGCGTAGGTTGCATTAGAAGAAGAGTTTGACGCGCAGAGTCCATATTGAATTGATATTACTCAACATGTTGCGATTATAGTACGGTCCGTGGTGGCAAAATAGTGTTGGGTTGAGCCAATTTTTTTTCATTTTCTAGTCAACCTAAGATTTTGCAGAAGATCATAATAACGGAATAGGATAGAAGCTTAAAATATTGAAAGTTGGGAGTCAGTTCAAGGTGAAATCCGATGCATATGAAAAGGTTACTTTACATTGTTCACAATTTCATTGACGCATAGTCAGAGGCAGAAACATTGTTATGAAAATTAAGTCAGTTATCACATAATTTTGGATAGAGCCCAGGAAAATCAAGATAACAGAGTTGTAGACAAAATTTCCAAAAATGTCCACAGTCCTGCAAAAGATTTATCTTGGCGTTTGTTTATTAGTAGAGAAAGATAGTAATGTTGACCAGGAGGTAAGGCAGGAAATACCTAGGTTTCAGAAAGAGCCACCAATCCCCATCAGTTCCCTTCTATGACAAAAAACTTTTTTTATCCAAGTGACGAGATCGTAAGCTCAAAAGAAGAGGAACCGAAGAATTAAATAAATTAAAATACTTTTGGAAAAACTTCTAAATCTTACAACCGCACTTAAAAACATTTTCATCTCTAAAAAGTTAGTAAAGGCTATAGTCGTGCAGGGCCGACCATGTGATACCCAACAACACTACAATATGTTCGAAGTCCCCTTATGTTCAAATCCATTTTGGAAGATTTCGTTTTTGAAGTAATGTCAAAGAGCCCTGCCCAGAAGTTACCCTTAGGTTTTTGACAGGGGCATTTGCGCAATATTTACGCACTTCGTTGTGTTGTTAGGTATTCAAAACAATTTCACACAAAAGTTGTAGTCTATTTTACAGCTAAATATAAACCAATGGTCATCCAAAAAGCTTGACTTCTTCCCTGTCCTTAACTCTCTTGTCATGCGAAATTCCGTGTCGATTGGTTTTCAATTGTGGCCTGTAGAGCGTTTTGTTTTGGTCCATTTGAACCCCTAAATGTATATTTTTAAAAACAATAGCCTTTAATTCTGACCTAACACTACCCAAATTTTCTTGAGGATCGTAAAAAAAAAAACTTTACAAAATATACTATTCAAAATTGCAAGTCAAATTGAAAAAATCGTATGCGATAAAAAATGTGACAAAAATTGAAACAAAAAATGTTACAAAAAATATGAACATTTTTGAGATATTTTTACGCGATTTTCTTATATTTTATCCTTTTCTGGCAGTGGTACTTGACTTACATATACATGTTATATTGTACCTATTTTGCTATATATCCGATATCTTGGGTTGGTCAAAAATGACCTTTTAATGTATTTGCGATTTGGCCGGGATTAATAATATTCGCGGTTTAATGGAATTTTTATATTTTTGACATAAAGATAATAATTTATTTTACCTGCTAAATATAGTCCGATGACCGTCCAAATTGGCAGGCATCTGCCCAGCCCTAAACTCAAACTCCATTTGAAATTCCTCGTCGATGGGTTTGTGGTCTGTTGAGCAACAGAAAAATCAGGAAATTTATCTGTGTTTGGTCAATTTCAAGCCGCGATGATCTCCAAAAATAATATGCTTCTATTCTGACCCTTACTACACCTCCATTTTCATCTTCTTGAGAATCGGGCCATAATTGCGACCTGTAGCGTTTTTACAAATTTACATGGACAGACATAGCTAGATTTGACTCAGCTCGGCGAGATAGGAATATCCATATATGGTTTTCTATGTCGGGACCAATATTTCGAGGTGTTACATAATTTTTGGACCAATCAAAACTTATAATACCCCCAATACATAGTGTTGTAGGGTATAATTATAAAGTAACCTCACCTCAAGTATAGTGACCCATGCCGCCCTACTAAAAGCCTTTGCTTAATTTACAACCAGTTTTTCTGGGATCTTTCGTAGTTTTTAAAGCAAATGTTTTTTTCTTGTCAGTGAAACCAAAGCAAAAATTGAGGGGAAGAATAAAGTCTTTAAAATTTGCTGGGTTTTGCCTTATTAAGGCGAAGATCACATGTTAATATTTATTTTTTTTTATTTCACTTTCGAGACGAGTTTAAAGATCTGAAGTTTGCAAAAGGATTCACTTCGCATCACTTTTTCTTAAATTTTTGGGTTTTATAACAAATAACCTGGTCAAAAGTCGTGTTAGTAGAACACCCGCAACAAAAAAGTATATATTGGGAATTTATGTGAAGAAAATCATACCAACTATGAATGTTATTTGATTCCGTATTATGGCTTTAGAGTAGTCACAATTTGGGAACTATATCCAACTCTGAATAGATTTCCAACAAATTCTATGAAGGTTTTTGTACTCTTTATACCAAATAACATTACTATATAGTGACTTCCACAAGGTTTATATTAAAAAATATTTGTTGGAGCAACCGCATACCAGATTGAGTTTCCCCAAATGGGAAAATTCTGTTGAATAGGAAAACAATAACCGTAAAATCTAATGAAGATGTTTATCGAAGGTAAACAAAAATCTAAACCGAACTCGATAAAATTTAGCAAAGGTATTTTCGAGCTTTATCTGGTGTTCGGTATCAAAAATCATTGTTGTGGAATGCATATTACGTATGTGAGGGACTTTAACACCAAAACGGATATGAATGCTATAGCCATATCTCATCCGATTTTCACCAAAAAATTTGAAGCACCTGTTTCTAAGATAAATTCAGTCGGAAGTGCCATAATTCAGTCCACTTGGGCTGTTATTAGCCATTTGGTGCATAAGCTCATAAGCTATGAGCTTAAAAAAAAAGCTCTGTCAAATTTTATCAAGATCAGATTATATATATATATAGCGTTCGTCCCTGGGCCAAAAAAATGCGACCTGCATTTTGTTCACAAAAATACATGGACTGCCGAACTGACATACACAATTCGACTCAGATAGTGATTTTATGAAGATCTTCAAAAGTAACTATGGGTCTATCTCGCTTTCATTTCCTTGCTACAAAAAAGTGAACAAAGACATAATACCCTGACCACAGTGTGGTGGAAAAAAGCTATTGTTGTAAAATCAAGGGATGTTCCATAGTACTTCGTAACAAATTCCTGCACTTAGGAGTAGTAATAATTACAGAATCAATGTAAAGTGTTTACATTTTGTTTAGTTTCTTTAAATATAATTATAAATATTCTTGATTTTTATATTAATAAAGATAATCGATCGATAATAAAGATAAAGATCGATAGTTGTTTTAAGATGATATTAATTTTTTTATGTTTTTATGAAATTGCACAATTTTACATTTTAATTGGAAGCAATTTGAACAATTTTGCAAAAATAATTTGGTGTCAAAATATTAAAAATAGGAAACATTAAAGTTTCCCCAGCGTAATGGTCCTGAAGTACACATGTGACAAATGATGCGCCTCGCAAAACAAGTTAATGATATCCCATATGGCGTGTTGTATTTGTTAAAAAAAATATTTTAAATATTGAGATTGCTTCAAAATTAATACGTTTTATTATTCGGTTATATAAATTATATATACTTTTACTATGTAATTATTTGTGTTTTTTTTTTATAATTCATTTAATTTTTTATTTATATATAAAAAACATATTTTAATATTTTTTCATTTTTTTAATTTGATGATTATATATTTTTTTTTTTAATATTAATGTATGTAGATATAAACAACACATTATTATTATTTGTTTTTTTTTTTTCTTTTTTGACATTTGATAACATGATAACTAACAATATTCGTATTTCTTTTCGGTTGACTATAAATTTCGTTTCATTTCGCGTTTTCGATTTTACTGTCAAATTTACTGTCTTCTATAGGTAGTTTTATTTCTGTTGTTTGTTTGTCCTGTCTGCTTCTTCCCCAGAACCTTACGTTCTATGTACGTAAAGTCTTTTAACTTGGGATTTATGATTTTTTTATTTTTAATAATTTTATTCTTAAACTGTACATTGTCATTTTTGTGGTTGTTTTTATTTAATATTTTTTGTTTTTTCTTTGTTTTTGTTACTGCAGCTGTTGTTGTTGGGTATATGCTGCTGATCTTTTTTTGTGTGCGCTTATGTTCATGTCCGCTCGCTTGTTGTTGCCGTCGATGTTGTTGTGTATTATAATAAATTGTTGGAAAATATTACTGGCGTTGTTGTTGTGATTAAACTGTACAAAACTGACAATAAAACTATTAAATATGGCCAATGATGGTCGTGAAATGGCCAACAACACCACCGCCACAAGCAACAGCACCACCAACAACTTTGCCAAACGTTCGCCAGCGGTGCTATTGACATTTTCCGCATGAAGCCCGATGCCTTGGAGGTGATGTCATTATTGTTGTCCATGGTGCCAGGACCACCGCGTACATCCGTTTTGCCATAAAATATCGGCTTACGAGTAACAGCATTGCTGCTGCCTATAACACCGGGCAGACCATTAAAGCTGCCACCACCGCCACCATTTGCTCCACCCCCACCGCCATTGTTACCCGTTGCGATGCCATATTCAAAAGAGTTGTAGTGGTGTCGACCACCAGTGCCACCCTCGGATCCAACCATATTTGGTTTATGTGTGGCATGTTTATGGTGGTGGTTGGTAGCGGAATTACTTCCTCCGGCACTGGACCCAGCACCATTTGTATTACCACCGCCGCCGCCACCTGCTGCATTGGCCGAGGTGAAGTAGACATTTGGTGTTAATGGCGGTAGAGCTAAATCTCCGTCATCAAAATCCTCTGCAGAACCATAAAGATCTTCATCATCGGGTTGATATGTGACGCGTAATTGTTTTTGCTTTAAAATGTCATTGGTGTCGGCATCAGCATTACTTCCACCATGTTTATTAACCGGTGTTTTACGACTTGGTCCAGGAATTTCTGCGAATGAAAAACGTGAAACAAATTCAGTAAAAATGCTGTGAAAAGGGAATATTAAAAAATGTGTGCTTTTAAGAGTTTCTTGGACTTATAGCATAGTTTTAGTGTTCAATGTGAAGTAAGGCATATGTTTATGGGGCCAAAGTAAGGGAGTGGGCTAAAAGTGATTAAAAAGGGTTTCTCCAGTAAATCTCACTGGCACAGAGGGTATATAAACTCTACTCGATCTAGTTTAATGTCCGTCCGTATGTCTGTTAGACATATCATAATATTTTACCAGACTTAATTCAAGTTCGAAGATGGACAATGTTGGTCTACTTCTTCTGTCTCCACTAACTTCAACATTTTCCATTAGACTCTTCATACGATTACTTATATATGCCATAACCGACGTAAAATTTGAGAACCATAACCTTTATTATTTTTCCATAATATTCAGGCATTTGAATATGTGTGAGGAGGATGTCTTTAAAAAGATTTGTTTAAAATACATGATATTTCGATATGAAATCCTTAAAACGTCAAGAAAGTCCAGTGAAAAAATCTTAAAAATGTACGACTTTTGGTTTAAGCTTCTTAGAAAACTTGGTTATATTCCTTGTATTTCGGCCTATTGCAGCTTAAAAATATATATTTTTTTTAATATTCAAAATTTGGAGCATAACCTTCAAAAATCCTGGTTCGAGCAACTTTGGGAAACACTTCGATATTTTGGTAGATAAGAAGCACATTCAGCTCTGTATGTAAACAAGCAAAATTGTCGTATTTGGGGTACAGGGGACCCCATATTTGCCGGATACGTAATGGAAATACAGATTTATTTTCTTCAGCGAATTATGCTGAAATTGGATGGAAAATATTTTGGTCTTTGCCGGCATCCTTGAAAAATGATGTTTTGCAGGGATATTTTGCATAAATTCGCATTACGTACGGCCCTAATCCTAAAATGTGAATTTCTGGCGTTTATGTAAAATGTAAACTTTTAGTGTCTTTTGAGATCTATAGTAGAATTTTATTTTATACTTCGTTTGTGAAAAGTCCACCCTAACATTTTTTTTATTTATTTTAGGAAAGAATAATAGGAAAATGTTTACCTTTTGCACCAAAAAATCTTCAAAATCTTTCATTTTGAAATTTGCCAAAGAGGATATTAGTAGAATCATTGCACAATGGACTCACATCCAATTTTTCTGTTTTCTATTTCAACGTCTCCATATGTAAACCCAAGAAACTAGCAGTGATTTCGATACCAAATTTCAGTATTCCATCCCTATCCCAACGACACCTGTTGTGGCATTTTGTATAACCACCTTCTCCTCTCAACTACAGACACCTAAAGTGACATCCATATCAAATTGATACTAATACCAAATTAGGTACTATTTAGTACTTTTCGAACAATCAGGAATGCGTACCTGAATCCACCTCCAAATCTCAACCCAAGACATCAGCAGATACTTGAAAATCTAATTTGTGGATTCCCAAAACCATCTTCAAATCTCAACTTCAGACACCACCAGAGACTTCAATATCGAATTTGAGGATTTAGTACCAATTATTTCCAAACCACTGCCAAATTTGAACACAGATACCATTGGTAATATAAATATCAAATTTCTGAATTTTATCTCTATCCCTTCACCGAATACCAAATATAGTACCTTCTCTCTTTATTCTAGACACCTATAATGATCTTAATGTAGTGCTTTTCGAACAATTATAGTACACATTTCCAAAAGCAGCTGCATATCTTAAATTCCGGAATACCAAATATAGATCCATTCAGCACGCATAACCAAAAAATCTTCATCTCTCCATCATAGACATCAACAGAGATCCAAATTTAGTACTTTTGATACAATTATAGTACACATTTCCGAAACAAACTCCATATCTCAATTCAAGATACCAACATATACCTTAATATCATACTTGATGATTCTAGGCATATTCCTTCACTCTATACCCAATGTAGTAACATTTTGTAATTTTCGAACAATTTAGTACACCTTTCCCAAAACCACGTCCAAATCGCAATTCCAGATACCAGGAGAAATCAATATCGAATTTTGAGATTTCAGCCATATCTCTTCTCCCAATACCCAGTTTACTATCACTTTGTACTTTGCGTACAATTATAGTACACATTTCCGAAACCGCCTCCATATGTTCAGGCTACACATGAACAGCGATCCCAACACCAAATTTCATATTTCAAGCCTGAAGCATTGGGTGAACAAATACCCAATATAAAGTTGTACCAAATATAGTACTATATAGAACTTTTCGTGCACCCGCAGTACACATTTCCAAACCTAACACCAATAGGGTCCCCAATACAAAATTTCAAAATTCTAGCTCCATCCGTTCAACTTAAACCAAACTGCTCCAAATTTAGTATCATTTTGTACACTTCGCACACTAAGTACACATTTACCAAAACATCTTCATTTATCAAACTTACAGTATTGATTTTTATACCAAATTTCAACTTTTAAGCTCTATTTGTTCACATAATACCAATAGTTACAATTTTAGAAGTTTAAGTTCCCTCTGGGCTTTGATTCTTAGTCAGTCAATTATTTTACTACTCTTTTATATGTATAGAAAAAAACTTCCATTAAAATATTTATCAATTTTTCATTGTAGGTTGCGGAATTCCAGGAATTACAAATTTTTGAAAAACCATATCGAACCCATCATCAAAACTAAAGGACAGTTTCCATATCGTGTTAGATAATTTCTCCAAACCCCAATCACAACTAAAAACACAAACAAAGGCCATGGAGTTTCTTTGCTTTTATTGGCCGGAAAATGATTAAAAACTCAACACCTTGTGGAATGTGTAACAGCTGATTTATTAATTTAATTAATTTTATACAAGACATTTGGAATATTTTATTATATATTAAATAAATTTAATGAAAAATAAACAAAATTGTATTACTTTCTAACAGAATGTCAACTTGCGCCTAAAAGTAAGCTAATGTTACGTTTGCTTTAACTAAAAATCCAGAAATTTGGCAGCACTGGCTATGACATGAATATAGCGCCATCTATTGAAACACATGATCCCAGAGACGCATAATTTTTTTGAAATCTCAATTTTTGACATACTTTTAACAGTGGAACCCGTTTATAGAATTATTGCGATTATGACGAAATTCAAATGATAGCGAGGTGTTTCTTATGATTTTGAAATTAAAAACGAATAATAGGATAAATATGAATGGTTGGAACTGCAAAAGTCTACATTTGGAGGAATTAAATATTTAAAAAAATACATATTTTTTTGGTCTAGAATATATGGACCATATTTAGTTGTGCAATTCGGCTTCACGAAACATTTCATAACAGTGGTGAAAGTGAGCATTTTTGTAAAGCACGACGACTAGGCAGGCCTATGTGTGATACATTGCATGAATAAATCAAAAAAAAAAAAATAAATAAATAAAACATGTAGCCCATCTATACAAGTTGCATTGCAGTTGTGTAATACGGCAGTACAAAACATTTTTGAGAATTTTTGTTTGGTACGTCGGTTAGATAGGCCTATGTGTGATATATTTATTGAAAAATAAAAAAAAAAAAAAATAAAAACCCTTTTTATACATGTTCCACTGTAACGGCATGTCAAAAATGGCTAATTTTAAAAAAATTTGCCCCCCTCAGATCATGTGATCCAATAGATGGCGCTATAATCATGTCTTTGCCAGTGTTACCAACCTTGTAAAGATTCTTTTATCATTTTATATGTAAATTTGAAGCATAACTTAAGGCGCTCTAAAAATCGCAATTAGACGCTGAATTTTTATTGCAGACGAAATATTCGATGTCTAGCATGAAATTCTAAAGATAATTTATTTCGTTGGACAAAAGTTTATTTTTTAAATGATGACTTATGCGAATTATGAAGGAACAAATCTATTTTATTTACGCCTGAAAGTCTGCTTCATTTTGACCTTAACGTTTTGCAAAGATGAAATTATTACAATTGCGCCATCTTTAGAGTGGCGATGGATGAAAGCCAGAAGTTCCAGAAAATTGCATGAAAGACTTGCCTCAAATCATTATACTAAAAATAATATGAATATAACCAAATAAAACACGATAATATATATTGTGGTTTGGAAATATAGTTTATTAGGCGAATAAAATGAAAATAAATACATACAAAAATTAAACAAGTAAGCAAAAGCTATAGCCGAGCCGGGCCCACCATTTGATATTCTACAACAAAAGTTTGTAAAGTTTCTGGAGATCTGAAACCCTTTTGACTAGAATAAATTTTCCCCTGAGAAACATAATAAAAGACGATGTTGAATCTTTCGAGTAATCATAATAGATCTGGAAACTCTATTTTCAAAAACACATAGATCCTAAAAAAATTGGTATTTGATGATGCAGATGTTTATACTACGTTAAATGCTCAATTCGCTCTTTCGGAAAGAACTAAAATTTCACATTCAATTTTTTTTTTGCCATGCATTTTGAACAATACATTTAATTTCATTCTTGAAATAATGTCACATAGTCCTGCAAAAGTTGTACCTTAGATTTTGACCGAAACTCCAAGGTCATGAAGGTCTTCGTAGCATTTGCCAACAATATTTAAAAATTTAGATTATTCTACATGATTTCTTGTATCGCCGATATTTGGGTATATTCGTCAAAGAAATCGCCATCAATGTCGGTCAGAGGTGTGCCCTTTATATATCCAATTAATTATGGTATTTCTTTCACTCAAAATTGTGGTCCATTTCACTAACCAGGCCTCGGCCGTGTCTTAAAATCCTAAACCTCATTAAAAATTCCACGTATATTGGTCAACGTTGATAATTGTAGGACTACTGCAAAATCTAGAAAATGTTTAGGTTTTGGTCCATCTTAATGGCATTCTATTCTCATATGGGTGCTATAGCCAAATCTGAAACGATCTCGATAAAATTTGGCAACAGTATTTCCGAGCTCTATAAGAAATCTAGTACCAATATCACTGTCGTGGAGTGCATATTACGAATGTGAGGGACTTAAACACCAAATCAGATGAAACGGGGTGAGATAAAACTGCAACAAAGTCAAACGCCATAATTTTTACATTTTTTTTTTTAAATTAATTGAATGAAAGCAAAAAATTTCGGAAATAGCATCAAATTTTAGAATAAGTTTAGATTTCTTTGAACCTTTGGCACGAATTTATGGCCTTCACAAGGCCAATAAAACCGTTACACGCTGTCCGAGTGCTGCTCCGCGGTATTTTGGCCCATACCCGGCGAAGCGCTTGCTTGAGGTGATCGACACTTTGGTATTTTTTAGTGTCAACTTTGCTTTCCTTAATACTCCAGACACAATAGTCCAACGGGTTGGTATCCGTAGATTTTGATAGCCATTGTGAAGCGAGGAACCTCAATTTGTAACCATTCTTGGCTGCCTCGTACTGAGTGCGATGGTGCTGAGTCCTCTTGGAATGTCCAAGGTCTGCGGCCAAAATGTTTGCGTGCCCAAGGCTTTAATACACCCTCCAGAATATTTCCACGATAATATTCGGCATTTATTTTAATGCCACGGTCGATTAATACGAGCGGAGAGCGACCATCGGCTGTTATGGCGGCCTACACCATCAACATGGCCGGCGCTTGAGTTTTGAGGGCCAACGGAAGGTGCACATTTTTAGCTGACCTCTTTGGCAAGTAAACACGATCATTTGGTTTGTTTACAAACTGCTGGACAACGAATTTTTTTCTTATCGGAGCGGAGAAAACCAAATTCGGCAGTTCACCACTTTCGGCCAAGCAAAGCAACTCTTTAGCTCTTTTGATTCTATTTTCTTTCTGTGGCGGTGTAAGTTCTTGCTCTTTTTAAAATTTAGGCTTTACCCCGAGGTTATTTTTTAATATTTACGGAATGGAATATTGCGATATTATCAGCTCATGAGGCATTTTTCGGCCACTGCTACTCGGGTTTCGATCAAGTCGCTTCTTTACGTTTCGAACCATTTCTGCTGATGTTGCTGTTTTCTTCCGTCCACTTCCTTGACGTCGGGCTACGCTACCAGTATAACGGTTACGAGCCATGGTACGAGACACAAAAGATTTATTCACATTTAAATGCTGGAGTGCTTTAACGACCACTTGTGGTTTCCAGCCAAATATAAAGAAATCCCACTATCACGCTTGAATTCCATCACGAATAACTTTTTTCTGGAAAATTCTTACCAACATGTTTTTGTCCGCTTGTAAACAATATAATGAGCTGTCACTGGAATAATTTTAACAGTTGTCGGACGAGTGGCTTAGAAATGACAGCAGTCTGAAGTTGGTTGCAGGTCTTTCGCCTCACCCTGTATGGTGGAGGGTATGATGACCAACATTACAATAGGAATGATTTTGACACACAAAACAATAGCAACAACCATAAAAATTGGTATAAGTCAATTTTTTGACAACTTCAATTGCCCATTACCTTTTCTATGGGATATTTTATTTATACTCACCATACAAACGTATACTGCTGTCCACTTCACCCAGTGAATTTTTGGCAATACAGCGATACGAGCCGACATCGTCCTTCTGGAATTTCCTCACAACGAGTGTCATTTGTGTCTCGTACATTGATTTGGATGCATCCTGTACGTGATATTTTGACGATGCCACAATCATCTCACCTGTTGACACAACAATGGACGTCAAAATCCCAATGTATCCGTTTTGTTTTAACATTTCATTTTCAGCATTTAGGGGTGAACAGCCAAAAAGGGTCCATAACAGCGCAATGTATATGGGGAGGAGCGGCAGGGAAGATAGAGCAAAAAAGAAAGGGAAGACAAATACTTTGTTATTTATTTATATATGGCATTTATGTGTATAGTTTGTGTGTATGTATGTGGAGTAGTATTAAATCACCAATATTTATTTTGTCTCTGTATGTGTTATTGTATTGGGGTTTATTTATGGGATTTTTGTTAAGTAAATATTGAGGCAGAGTAGTGTCGATGATGGTGATGATGATGGCGATGACAATGCGAGAGATTGGCGTTCGTCTGGCCATACATCTTCTATCGTGTAAATATTTTGGTAAAGATTTCAAAGGGAATTCATTGAATTCACACATTGAAAGTGAGTGTGAAAATAAATACAAAATGTGTGATAAGATTCAAATCGCTTAAATGTGACACTTTGTTTTGAAAATGCTGAGGGGCGTATGATTTATTTCTCTCTTTGTGTGACAATCACTCATACGTCAATGTTGTTATTCTTGATATGATTGTCTTTGGGACAATATTAATTTAACAATTTAACATGAAAGAATTGATTGTTTATCTTTTTTTGGAAAAATAACAAATTCAAATTTTATGCAAATTATCTAACAAATTTTAATCATAAAATTAATTAAATATTTTGTAAAGGATATTATTGTTAAATTTCAATTAATTTGTAGTGAGTTGTATGCTGTTTGTGTTTAATTAAAAATGTTAATTTCGCAGTACATCCAGGTGAATAGGTGAATATATGGAAATAGAAGGGCTAATAAGCCACTCCTATAAAAATTACCCACATTGAATGCATTAACTATAAAAACGTAATATATAGTTAAATTATGGGAATACATAAATTATAGCAAATACATAAAATATAACAAATCTTTCACCGTTTAAAATTCAAAATGCCAATTGCAATCCATACTGTTGAAAAATGCATCCAGGACCGTCAATACACAATAATTGGGCTCTTTATATGGAAACCTGAACCCATATTGAGTATTTTTTGCTATGATAAAGCTAAATAATTACAGATTTGGTTAGAAAAGTGGCTAGAAACATCAAAATACTTAAAATTACCAGGAAAGCTAAATTGGTCTTATGTAACTGGTACTGACATTTTTCACAGATGAAATTTACTTGTACAACGAAAATCCAAAAAGCCAATTTAAATCCTATATAGATGAAAATAATGGATTAGACCAATAAAACACTGAAAGTCAGTAGAAACAGCTATATAAGGTCCATACCAAATGATGGACCTATATTGGAAAATTCCTGCTACAAGTTTTGTTTTATTGTTGAAAAAAACTAAATTGTCAAATAATAATTATTTTGAACTTTTTATACCCTCCACCATACTATGGAGGGTATATTAACTTTTTATGATTTTTGCGACATTATTCACCGGAATTGTTTCAACTTTGGTATTTGAAGTTCGAAATGGATACTACAGCCTAACACAGAAAATTGTCTTTGCAGGTCCACGTCTTCGTATAGCGCCCAGGTTATTCGGTATTTTGATATTCGGTTATTTGACGTTCGTAATGGATGCTATAACTTGTGACAGAAAATTGTGTATGCTGGTCCAGTTCTTCGCTTAGCTCCGATATAACGGTACCTCCCTATATACGATATTTTAGCTACATTATTCACCGCTTATTTCAAGCTTCGAATTTGAATATGGTATGGGTTATGGCAAACAATGTCTATGTAATGCAATGTATGTCCACGTCGTATAGACCCCAATATAACGGCTATATTCGGAATTTTTAAAATTTTAACAGAATTTTTTAAGGGTTTTATTTTTTGAAAATTTCCAAATTCGTTCCAAATGGTGGAGGGTATTTAAATTTTTGGCCGAACTTACTGCTTTTTAACTTGTTCTTTTTCAAAAATCATAAACATATCGCACGGAGCCCTTGATTAAGTCCAAACTTATCATACCTTTATATTTATATTAAAACTAAGGCAAGGCTCAAAATGAAGAATTTTAGCCTACTGACGGGACTTATCGTACCCGTCTTAGAAAAGCTTAAAATATTTGGGTTATCAAAAAATGTCAAGCATAAGCCAAGTGCCAAGATTTGTTGGGTATGTTTTTCTCAAAGACTTCCTGGCCAGAAACAAGAATTAAAAAAAATTGTTTGTGAACAATTTTCTGGCCAATATTCGTGGATTTTTTCTAAATATTTGTGAAAAACCGGCAGTAAGGATTTATTTCAAGGTGGATTTTTTAAAACAACTTTTCGGCCTGGAATAATAGATTTCAAGAAAATGTTGCGAAAAAATTCCTGGAAAAGATTCGTGTTTTTTTTTTAATTTTTTTTTTATTTATAAGTACTAACTTGAAATTTATTTTTTTTATTATCCTCAGTCCAAAAATCGTTTATTTAAAAAAATATATTTCCCAGTTTTTTATGAATGGTGGATAAGGACTTCCAGACCACAAATAGTGGATTTTGGAATATTTTTCCTTAATTTTTTTTCTCGTAATTTTGTTTAACTTTTAATTTTACATTTTTAAGGGACTTTTTGACCTCATATTATATTCTTGAAAATATAATAAAAAAAATAATATTTTCATAGCCTTCTTATGTTATGCACTTTTTTTCAAAAGAGTTATCATTCCCTAAGGGCCTCTTTGATCCCCTAGATATTAAGATCCATAAACACAATTTCCAATAAATTTAGTTGTAAATTGGTAGAGTTCAAAACATATGAAGGTTTTTACATAGCTTCTATACAACCGTACTGGCAGCAGCAATATTTTCCTAATGAAGATGACGTTTCCCCATCAGCTTCTAAATGGACAGATCTATCCTAAAAATGTGAATATTTAAAACTGTTCGACATTTTTCGATTAATGGTCTTGGGGTGGGAAATTCCAAGTGGAGGTTATAGTATTCAGTTAGTAGATGAAAATGCTAAAACGGGTTTTGGTTCCCAGTCTACAATTTAAGTGTTCATTATATCTTGCCTTACACAAAGGACCTCAAATATTTTTCATACTAATTTCGGCAAATTTTGTTAATTTGAGTTCTTGGTAAGGAAGCCATCCATGGAAGAAATAATTGACCAATGTTCTGGCCATTATAAAAAAGGTATCCCCTGATTTCAGCTATTTCCGTGGTCTTGGTCACATTTTTCAATCGATTTGGCCCTTATGTAGCATCGTGGTATCTAAGGGGGTAGAAATTTTCAAGGTAGGTCAATGTACAGAAAATTTCAACTAAAGTATATATCTCGTTATAGCCCCATTATAACGGTTCCTCCCAGGTTCACGGTCCCAACCAATACTATCTTCCACTACATTGGTTGTGTTACAGTGTAATTAGAAGAATTTGCATTTTGCTAAAATATTTGAAATGGCCAATCTTTATTTCATTGTGACCAGGTTTATTTATTGTTTTATGCAAGCATACATACAATTTAAATATTTAGACTGTCTTTTATATTTTTCTAACAAATTTCAAATATTTCTCATTCATTTTAATATCAATATTATTTCGAATCTTACTCTTACTACCTTCCCTACAATTTTACCATTTCTATTTCTACATCCATTTGGTTATCCCATCTTCTTGTACTTTGTTTGAAGTGCTACATTTTATGACGAGGAGGAGGGAGTGTTTCTGTTTAGAAAAATTATTGTTTATTTTGTTATAATTTTGCTACTTTTATGATTGTTTGCACTCACAGTTACTGCAAAAATACAACAGTTGTAAAAGTGCCGTCACTAGTCAAACAATCGCATAAAATGCGTATTTATACAACTAAGGACACATGTGTTGGCCCACCCTCCTCAATCTCTTCTCCTTTTGCGTACATACCCTAGCACTTGTTATTAGCATGTAAGTAGATGTGTTTTACAAAACATAGTAGGGAGTGTGAATGGTGTGTAATTTTACTAAGATTTCAATGTGTGGGTCTTAGTATGTGTGTGTTGGTATGTTTTAGAGTTTGCGATAACACTGCTTACTTTCATCGCCTGTCCGTCTGCCTTTCTGTCTGGGGTATTGTTGTGTTGACTGTTCATATGTTTCAGTGGTTTCGTTCTTATTGTTTATAAAGTGGCTGTGTATTTGTGTGTGTGTTGAAGTGTATGACTGCTTTCTTTGTAGTCCGTACGTGTTGATTTCTCTCCTAAGCACGACAATGTTGAGGGGTGGGTCCGGAGATTATTGTTGTTCACTTAGTGTACATGATAAAATGCGATTATTGGCATAATCATAATTGTTATTTTAGTTAATTTGATTTGCGTTGAGTGTCATCAGTGTTGTTGGCGAATGAATGTCCAAATAATGGTTAACATTACAGGGCATAAATTATATGGGAAAGAATTATTTATATCTGGTTGTCCCCCACAAAAAGTCGAAATTAAAAAAATATATATATTACTGCACAGAAGATGAAGGATGATCCGATTTTGCATCAACTTTGCCAATCCTAATATTTCTATCAGTGCTTCGTAAGGTGCGAAAATGAACGATATCGGTCCACTCCATCAAGTACATCCCCCACAAAGGGTCAACATTTTGAATAATTATAACTCTTATAAAATATGAGGTAAGAATCAGATTGTCTTCAAATTACACATAGCACAATATTTTTATTTACCCAAGGTTGGTGTAAAGATGGAATATATCGGTTCACTATTTCTTATACCTCCCCTACAAAGGGTCGAAGTTTTGAGTTACTAAAACGATCAGAAAATCCGAAATAAGCATCCAATCTTTAAATTACACACAATACAATATTTTTATTAACCCAAGGTCTGGTGTGAAAATGGGATATATCAGTCTATTACTCCTGGTACCTCCCCCACAAATGGACAAATTGTTGAATATACATGAAGCTCATAAAACGCAAAATTAACATCCGATTCCATTCAGACGTGGTACATCTCAATATTTCCATAAAAGCAAAATCTCTTATAAAGATGTTACAGATCGGTATCTCCCACACTTAGGGTTCAAGATTTGTGAAAAACAAAACGCTCAAGCATCCAACTCTCTTCAAACTTCACATCTCCAAATATTTTTGCTAACGCAAGATCTGTTGTAAAGATGATATATATCTGCCAACCCCTTCTGGTACCTCACCAACAAAGGGCCGCAATTTCCAATGCTAATATATGTCATAATTTGCGAAACAAAGATTCGGCGATTCTTTACAACTTGTTATATCTAAATATTTCTTCTAACCGGAAATCTGATATGAATATGTATTTTTATCGAAATTTATGATCTCGCATAAAATTGGATACAAATGTTCGATTTCCTCCAAATTTTGAACACATCAATATTTTTGTCTGTATTAGATGAAGTATGACAAGGAAAAAAGCAGTAAGTTCGGCCGGGCCGAACTTTGAACACCTTCCACCATTTAGAACGAATTAGAAAATTTTCCAAAAAAATAAAATCCATTAAAAATTCTTTTAAAATCTTTAAAATATCTAATATATCTTTAAAATATTTATACCCCCGATATATGGGGGGATATATGATATTGTGGACCTATTAAGACAAATCTATGTCTGGGTGTAAAGTACTCACAAGGGTAAAATGTGGGTAAAATCATCAAAATGGGGTACCGTTATATGGGTGATATACGATATCGTTAACCTATGTAGAAAATTCTCTGTAGGTGGGTAAAATGCTCACAAAGAACCCCTTGTGTACAATTTCGGACCATTCCGATGAAAAATGTGGGTAAAATCATCAAAATACCGAATATCGGGGGGTACCGTTATATAAGGGATATTCGATATCGTGGACCTATATAGACAAGTCTCTTTCAGGGGGTAAAGTACTCACAAGGAACTACTTGTGTCGATTTTAAGACAATTCCATTGCAAAATGTGGTTAACATCATCAAAATACCGAATATCGGGGGTACAGTTATATGGGGGATGTACAATATCGTGGACCTATATAGACAATTCTCTCTCAGGGGGTAAAGTACTCACAAGGAACTACTTGTGTCGATTTTAAGACAATTCCATTGCAAAATGTGGTTAACATCATCAAAATACCGAATATCGGGGGTACAGTTATATGGGGGATGTACGATATCGTCGATCAATATAGACAATTCTTTTTCAGGAGGTAAAATACTCACATGGGACTCCTTTTGTGGAATTTCAGACACTTCAATTGAAAAATGTGGCTAAAATCATCAAAATACCGAAAACCGGGGGTACCGTTATATGGGGGCTATACGATATCGTGGAGCTATATAGACAATTCTCTGCCGAGGTATAAAGTACCCACAAGGAACTCCTTGTGTGGATTTTCAAACAATTCCGTTGAAAATGTGGGTAATGTTATCAAAATATCGAATATCGGGGGTACCGTTATATGGGGGATATACGATATCGTGGACCGATATAGCCCATCTTCGAACTTGACCTGCCTGCAGACAAAAGAGAGATCTGTGCAAAATTTTAGCTTCCTATCTTAATTCGTTTAGACTGTAGCGTGATTACAACAGACGGACAGACGGACGGACAGTCTCAGAATTTTACGCTGATCAAGAATATATATACTTTGTTGGGTCTAAAATGATTAATTCGATGGGTTGCAAACGGAATTACGAACTTAATATACTCTCCATACTATGTATGGTGGAGGGTATAAAAATTGAATACTTCGGTCCGCTATATCTGTCACCTCACGTATATTTCGAAATTTTCCAAGAATTTGCACATATAAAGTATAGGAAGTAGTCGATAGAGTCCAAAGCTATTATTGTAATATTTATATCAGTCTTAGGTCAGATATAAAGGGACAAAAGTTTGAATATTCATAACTCAAGGCTACTACTTGTTTACATAAAAGGTATGGTCTACTTCACCCTCTAAATATTATTCGATGACCATGCAATTGCCCAGCCCTAAATTCTAAGACAGAGTCTCGAAACTAATTTTGTTCACTTGTCATATTTTACAAGAATAAACTGTTTTTATCTGAAATAAACCAAAGCTGTTTTCAATAACAATATAAAAATTAAGAAGTAGGATAATTATCACTCGACAGTAGCTGCAACAGGAAATCATCAATTATATCAGATGCAGCAGCCATTAATAACAGCTTATCATGATAATCAAAACGATTGAAAACGATTTGTCCCGTGAAAAAGAAAACAAACAAGTAAATAGCATGTAAGTCTTTTTGTATATTTTGAAAAATGATACCATGGTCGAAATACTAAAAAGAAAACAAAGTGATGATGATGATGAAATGCAAAACTAAATTTAATATCCATTCAGTCTGTGTTGCACCTTATGTTGTAAATGTCTACAAAATGTTAAACTAAACCGTTGGCGGGGCGTGGGGGAGAATAGAATGCAGTCACTGGTTTAATGTTGATTTACACCCAAACAAATATTCAAACACTCACACACCCTCCCTCTCACAGATGACCAGACAAGGACTCACGTACCTCTGCCTACCAGAATACCAGTCCAAACATGTTCATTAATTATGTCGAGAGTGTAAGGCCGCAAGTCGTTACAGCAGCTGCATCGAATCTCGGCGAGAGATGTGATTTGTGTTAAGGAAGGGTAGGGAAGGGGATGAGGTGGAAGTGGTTAGGTTTGATGTTCCATATAGGATGGACATACACACATACACATATATATTTGTTGTCAGTGTGAGTTAATGTTTGAATGTGTATTTGGCTTAGTTTATTTTCTTTGTTAGCCATGCTCATATAGACTTACCCGTGTCCTTAATCCAGTAGTTAATTGATTTGGGGTATGCCTCTACGTGACATTCAATTTGGACATCAGTGCCAAGTGGTGCACCGACTAATTGATTTGGTACATGTATAACTGGATGAACTGTAACGATGACACAACAAACATAGACAAGAACAATAACAACAATTATTATTACAATAAGTATGAAGTAAAAAAATATCTAAAATAATATCAATTTTGTAAATTTTAAATGGGAGACACAAGAACACAGAAAATATGTATATATGTATGCATATAAGAAATGCTCGCAGGCTACAGATTTCTCCTCGATGTCCTGGTGTACATTTTAACAAATATTTAATTAACCTCCTTTTGTGATAGAATGCAAAAAAGTAGATTCGAGTGAGAACAATCTTGGAAGAGGGCAAGTTAAAAATTTTGTTTTTATTAAATTTATGTGAAAAAATAATTTAAAATTTTTGTGTAGATTAATTTTTGCATATTGAATGAGAGGAAAATTTCTAGTCTTCGAACGTTGCCAAATCATTTATTGTCATTTAACCACACACAGACACCAAAGAACTTTGCGGTTGCACACACATAACCTTTTGATCCATAGACAAAATTTAATAAACGGCAATCATTGCATATACAATGGGTAAGAAATTTTATTCTAAGTATATCTGGGATAAAAGGTGGTACAAAATGCGAACGACGGAGAGGATCGTTATCGGTCGAAAAAGAACATTTTGCTCATAATTTTCCTAGATAGAGTTTTCGGAAGTCATGAGTCATTAATGTCATTATCGAAAGAGGATATTTCAGGTACATTAACTATAAATATAAATCAGGGGACCAAATCGATGGGCGCTACTCCAAAACATGACATACACTGGATGTTTATTGCGAAGGGGTGTTTTAAGCCCTTAGAAAAAAAGATACCAAGATAAAGCTAAATGAATTGGAAAATGGGACCAAATACTCAAATCAAGCGAGATTTTTATATGAGGGCTACACCAAAATACCAACAATTGATGAAATTAGATAAAAACAAGTTAAAAAGTATCACTTGGTTCTGCCGACATACGTATACCCTCCGCCAAAATTTCGATTATTTAAATATATTTTTACTTCTGTTATGATTTTTACTTCTGTGGTTTCTGAAGTAATGGGCTAATATTGTCTATTTCATATCGGACCTAAATAAATACGATATAAATATTGCGACGTCCCAGGTTTGGTCTATATTGGTAACTCCATCATAAAATCCATATTCATCCCAAGTTTCCGGTTGAGAAAAATATTTAGATATAGCAAATTGTAGATATAGCAAAATTATACCAAGGTCTGGTATAAAGATAGAATATATCGGTCGACTCCTTCTTGTACCTCGCCCACAAAGGGTCAACGTTTTAAATAACCAAAACGTTTATAAAATCCGAAATAAGCATCAGGTTCTCTTTATTTTTCACACATTCCTAACACAAGAGCTGTTATGTAAATGGGATGTATCGGTCCTCTCCTTCTGGTACCTCCCCCACAAAGGTCAAAGTTTTGAGCTCATAAAACGCGAAATTAACATACGATTCCATTCAGACTTGGCACTTCTCAATATTTCCATCATCTGTCATAACTTGCGAAATAAGACGGGGACAATGTTTTTAACGTTGTTGCAGTTTTTTTTATCTCACCCTGTAAATGTTCGATTTCTTTCAAATTTTGCACATACCAATATTTTTACAAAAAAAAACGTAGTGTTGCGGAGTGTAAAAATTAAAAAAACTTACAATTCAAAATTGGAAGTCAAATTGAAAAAATCGCCTGCGATGAAAAATATGACAAAAATTGAAAAAATGGAACAAAAGATATAAAAATTTTAAATTTTAAAATATATATATATATATATATATATATATATATATATATATATATATATATATATATATATATATATGTAAAAGAATATTTATTCTGCTTATAAGTCAAGAATCGCTGGGCCGATTTTCACAATTCAAGTCGGAATGGTCTCTTGCCAGAAACGGATAAAAGCTAGGAAATTCGCAGAAAAATATAGCAAAAAAAATTTTATATCTTTTGTTCCATTTTTTCAATTTTTGTCATATTTTTCATCGCAGGCGATTTTTTCAATTTGACTTCCAATTTTGAATTGTAAGTTTTTTTAATTTTTACACTCCGCAACACTACGTTTTGAGGGTATTATATGCATGTCACAATAATCGCCTGAATGGTCTCTTGCCAGAAACGGATAAAAGCTAGGAAATTCGCAGAAAAATATAGCAAAAAAAGTTTTATATCTTTTGTTCCAGTTTTTCAATTTTTGTCATATTTTTCATCGCAGGCGATTTTTTCAATTTGACTTCCAATTTTGAATTGTAAGTTTTTTTAATTTTTACACTCCGCAACACTACGTTTTGAGGGTATTATATGCATGTCACAATAATCGCCTGATCCTCACGAAATTTTGTATGGCGGTAGGGTTAGGGTCAGAATTAAAGCCTATTGCTCTTAAGATGTACATTTAGGGGTTGAAATATATATATATATATATATATATATATATATATATATATATATATATATATATATATATATATATATATATATATAATATATATATATATATATATATATATATATATATATATATATATATATATATATATATATATATATATATATATATATATATATGTAAAAGAATATATCTTATTTATTCTGCTTATAAGTCAAGAATCGCTGGGCCGATTTTCACAATTCAAGTCGGAATGGTCTCTTGCCAGAAACGGATAAAAGCTAGGAAATTCGCAGAAAAATATAGCAAAAAAAATTTTATATCTTTTGTTCCATTTTTTCAATTTTTGTCATATTTTTCATCGCAGGCGATTTTTTCAATTTGACTTCCAATTTTGAATTGTAAGTTTTTTTAATTTTTACATTCCGCAACACTACGTTTTGAGGGTATTACATGCATGTCACAATAACCGCCTGATCCTCACGAAATTTTGTATGGCGGTAGGGTTAGGGTCTGAATTAAAGCCTATTGCTCTTAAGATGTACATTTAGGGGTTGAAATGGACAAATTTCTAATTTTGTAGTTCTTCTATAGACCACAATTGATCGACACGCAATTTCGCATCAGAAGAGAGTTAAGGACAGGGACATTATTTTTAACATTATTTCAAAAATGAAATCTTCCAAAATGGATTTGGACATAAGGGGACTTCGAACCAATTGTAGTGCTGTAGGGTATCACATGGTCGGCCCCGCACGACTATAGTCTTTGCTTACTTGTTTTAAAAATGGGACTATCTTGGCACCAAATGGTACCAATATTGACATTACTCACTTATTTTATAATTTTCGGAAATACAACTTGTTTTAACACTTTGTTCTGTCGTCAGAACGTTTCTGTTTATGTATATTATTTGGAACTAATTGTAATAATTTTTGGCATTATATTATTTACAAAACATTTTTAGTATTATGGGTTCGAAGGTCTTCTGAAGGGAAAACTTATTTTTCGAGCCTTTTATACTTTTTGTAACCAAAAACGAACATTTTAAAATATGTCGGATTTTATTTTTGTCACGAATTATTTGCCCATTGTGCAATCATGCACATACATGTACAGAGAGATACTGTATTAGTACAAGAACTTTTATTTCTTTTTCTATGGGTTTTCCAAACAATGCACATACAAATTTGTGGGTTTTTCTTGTCAATAGATTGCATTAGTACAATATATCGGACAAAAGATTTGTATTCTATTACGAAGCCTCAGATACACTGCAAACAATTTGAAAAAAGAAATAGAAATTGAAAATAATAAACTGCAAAAAAAAAAAAAAAAAAAAAAAAAAGACGATCACAATTGATCTCCTTCGCTGCTTGTGAACTCTTCTCCCCGATCGAGAGGAATTCTGATCGCGTTTCTAATGAATGGAAATTTGATCATTGTGTATTATAATTACAATTTATACATAGTATTTGGAAATTGGGGTTTTTTGTTGTAGTTTGTTTTTGTGTGTGATTTTGTTTCCATGCTTGGAAGAGAGAGAGACAGTGTGTATTCTTAAGAGTAATATGTGTAGTATTATTTTAAGCATACATTGCCACAATTAATGGAAATGTGGCCAACCGTTTCAACAGCGAGAAGACGAACCGCCCAATTGCTGCCGGAAAGCAATGGGTATTTGTGCAAAACAAATGTGAAAAATGTATATGCGAATTATAAGTGCTGAAGTAAAAAGATTCTTTTTAGAATTGCTTGTACACATTTAATTGTTGATTTGTGCGGCCACCAAAACAGTGGGGAATTTCAAATATTAAATAGAATGAATGCTTGTGTGCTCCCTGCCCACTTCCGTTGTGTGTGCCGGCTTGGCGTTTCCACATTCTGTCTTGCTAATTTAAATTGCTTGTGTTGATTACTTTAAAAGGAAATATGAACAAAGTTACGCATATTTGAATATTTGCTTTTTGAGGTCGTGACGACTTTTAAAAGCAAACTAAAAAAATGTATGTATTTAGTGTTTATACCCTACCCACTAGAAGTTTTGAGGGTATAATCAATTTGTCACACTGTTTGAAATACTTCGAAATATTCGGCTGAGATTTCATAAACTATGTATTCTTCATCAGCATAAAAATCTAAGTCAATAAAATCCACGTTGTTATATGTAAAACTTTGATATACAGTTTGTCAAATAATTCTTTGCAAAATGCAAAAAAGTCGTAATTTTGATATTTAAATTGAAAATGTATAAACAAAAACGAACTTTCTTACACTTTTTCTTTTATTTTATATTAAAGGTGACAGTTACTATTGACATTAATAAAAAAACATGTAAATTTCTATATAAAGCAAACCAAAAAATAACAAAAACAAAACAAAAGCAAATATTCTCTTGTCAATTAAATCTTTGCAAAATGTAAACATAGGTCGAAAAGGAAAACAAAACTAAATAACGGTACATCAATCTGCCATTCTTCTTGTATTGCTTTGACTAAAGCGTTTTTATTGGTAGGACCGCGTTTTGCGGTCCTGCAAAGTAACGATTTGTGTTTGGGGTTGTTGTCCTGTTGTCCACAAATCGTTACTTTGCAGTACCGCAAAACGC